CATTCCAGAACAACTATGGACTTCTATTTCCATGGATTTCATCACAGATCTTCCAATCTCAGGTTTTTATGACTCTATATTCGTGATAGTAGATTATTTTACTAAGATGGCATATTTTGTACCATGTACAAAATCTATCACAGGTGAAGAAACAGCTAAGCTCTTTCTGGACAATATCTATTGCTATCATGGATTATCCAAGGATATTATATCAGATAGAGGAACTCAATTTGTATCAAGATTTTGGCCGACTCTTTTCAAGATTCTAAAAGTGGATATAAAACTATCTTCAGCATTCCATCCTCAAATTGGTAGACAAACAGAGTGTGTTAATCAAGTTTTGGAGCAGTATTTAAGATGTACCATTAACTACCAATAAGATGATTGGACAACTCTTTTGCCATTGGCATAGTTTGCTTACAATAACATGGTACATTTTTCTACAAAATAAACACCTTTCTTTGCTAATTATGGTTATCATCCATGACTTGATACTTTTGACTTTTCAAAAGTTGATAATCTTGCTGCAAAAGATTTGGTAATTCATTTGTCAGAGCTACATGCAATAATCAAGGCGTAGTTAAAAGAAGCTCAAAAACAACAAAAGGTCAATACAGATGTCTATCGAAAGGAACAACTACCATTCTACATGGGTGATAAGGTATGGTTACTTCGTCGCAATATCAAGACCACTCGTCCTTGTGACAAGTTGGACTATCGAAAGCTTGGACTATTTTCTATTTTTGCTCAAATCAATCAAGTTATATATCGTTTATATCTACTAGAGTCAATAAAAATCCATCCAGTATTCCACGTGTCTCTTCTTGAACCATACAAGATAATGGACATACCAAGAAGAAGACAAGCTCCACCTCCTCTTATAGAACTGGATAATAATGAAGAGTTTGAAGTAGAAGAAGTCTTAGATTCAAGGCGGCGTCGAAATAAATTAGAATATCTTGTCCATTGGCGCGGATATGATATTAGTGAACGCACATGGGAGCCAGTAAAAAATCTTACAAATGCAGCAAAGGTGGTAGAGGCTTTTCATCGACGACATCCATCAAAATCAAGATGAAAAACTTCCTTATAAAAGAAACAAGATCTAAGCAAGATAACATTCTACTTTCAATCCTTGTTTGTAGTTTTTTTGTAGTTGTGACGCTCAAGAGATGGAGAACCAACAACCAACAGATTCGACTCAAGAGCCTTCATTTGTTGACATACCAAACAAGACATTACGATTGTTATAACCTTCAAGACGATGTAATTGAGATGAAGATCTACAAGAACGACATGTTCTTCTTCAAATAGATTGCGAGATACAACGCATTTGGTATCATGACCTTAGAAGGAACTCTTGATGTTTGGTGATTTTACTAGAGGTAAGAACAACTCCTGATGGTATTCCAAATGTTTTATTCGAAGGAAGTTATGAAGGCCTCAACAAAGATCAAATAACTGGGTGGTCTTCCCGCCTTGGTATGGGACACTATCGATGGTTGAGAGGCCCTATCAATCATCTTCGAAGAGAACAAAGATCAGAGTATGTGGCGAATACAATTCATCGCATCATAAATTTTTCAACATATGATTACCGCTCTTCATGGAACTCGTTCCTAGAAGAGGAGGTAATGTCATAGATATACACATGTAAGCTTGTAATTACATATATAAATAGGTAGAAGTAAAATTAAGTAAAAGTAAGTTAATTCTATAATATTTGCTATAGAAGCTTTCTAGAAGCTTCATAGACGTTGCTTTGACTTCATAGGTGTCTTTAATTGACTTTTTGGATTAGAAACGTGGTCAATAAGTTGGCCATGTGCCACACATGTTGTTAGCTTGAAGACCAAGTTAACTATGTAGCCCACACATAAAAAAACTTGCATTGTAAGTCAAGGCATGTGTCTTACAAAGTCAACACATATTGGAGGTCCTATAGAACGTCGCCACATAGCCCCTAGTTAGATAGTATATATAGAGACAAGAGTGAAGCCTTCTTCATTCTTGTCAACTTCTTTCTTGCTTCTGGTCTAGTTTCAAGGGTCTCTAATTTTCTTGGTTTTTTGGCAATAGCCATTCCAGTTTCTTTCTATATATATATATATATATCAAGTTATTTCTATTTTGTCATCTTTCTTTGAGAGAAATCTCACTCGTTTATTTGTCTTTATCATGTTCTTGTCCTTGACACTTATTATGCTTCCATCTTAATATATACATATACATTGCTTATTATACTTCCATTTTTTCCTTCATATTCTCATATTAGATTCAAAATCTTATTTATATACTTCATAGAAAATTAAGATAATAATGCTTGAGGCTTTGTTTTGTACTTCCTTATATAATAAATCTATGACTATATTCCAAGCCACTAAAGTCTTTTACTTTTTAAATTTCTACAATAAATTGGTTTTCTTTGCCTTCCAAGTTCATTGTCTTTGATTTCTCTTGATTTTAATATCTTCTTGACTTTTGTATATTGTTGACTTTTGTATCCATGTCAACTTGTATTATTGACTTTTATCTAGTCAAATTTTATCTATGTTTAGTCTATTTCTTTAATTAAAATATTCATTCTAATTTCGAAGACTATAGTTCAAATAAAAACTATCTACATAATTTTATATAAAGAAATTGATTCTATATATATATATATATATATATAAGTAAATAAATGTTAAATTGACCCACTCATCAAAACCATCATTGTATCCCGTTCCCAACCCCATTCCAATCTCTCAAATCACAACAAAGAAGACAGAGTCAATGAGGGGGCATGTTGTCTTCCAAACAAACTCACCGATCTTTCAAATCGCAATAATTCAAGACTAGGACCTACTGTGCTCTTGAATTAGCTATGCAGATACAGGATGAATGCGTTAAGTTTGGAAGGTCCTCAAGGATCACAAGCACGGTGTGTATCGGGTCGTGATTGTCATGTTGTGATGTTATGTTACTCCTAATTCTATGAGCGCATGTACCCTGTATATCCTATAAACTCGGGCTCATATATTGTGTGTTTCCAGATTGCAGAATTTTGAACTTTTCTATATCATAGCTGCTTCTGTCTTTCACCATGAAGCTCAACTTTTGTGTTGATTTTCTCTGGTGCGTGCAGTGTCTTTACGGAGGTGCCCCCAAGGTTCCTAAGTTGCGAGACATTGAGCGAGGAGCCGACATAATCATAGAAACTCCTGGACAGTTAAACGACTTTTTGGAAGTAAAAAGAGTTGGTCTCGGACAGGTTTCATATCTGGTACCTTACGAAGCAGATCGTATGCTTAATATGGGGTTTGAGCCTCAAATTTGCAGAATTGTGAATGAGATACCGTCACGAAGGTAGACTCTCATGTACACTGCGACTTGGTCTAAAGAAGTCAGAAAGATATCTGGAGACCTTCTCATCAATCCTGTTCAGGTTAATTTTGGTAACACCAATGAGCTATCTGCCAACAATTCTATTATTCAGGTTCAAGTTAGAATTTCTGCACTCAAATGTTTTATTGCGTTCGGAGTGTAGAGCCTTGAAGAGGAGGGCACCCAAGAAGCATCACTCCTACTCAAAGACAAGCAAGCGTAAGAGTCATTACAATTGATAGACTAGATAATGTTGTGGATGTGAAGCATCTTTTGAGTGAAGACTTGAATGTGGTGGTGAGCACCAACAAAGTGAGGTTTGCACTTCATGAATTAGGTCTCAGGTCATTAGAGAAGCAAAAGAAGTCACTGCTTATGACCAATAATGTATGTTGCAAGTTGAAATTTGCTCAACTTCATCAAAATTAGATTGTCTAAGATTGGTATAAAGTAATTTTTAGTGATGAGACTAAAATCAATCAATTTTATTGTGATGGTCATGCTTAATATTGGGTGAAGGATGAAGAATCTCAATTACAAACTTATCATGTGATTTAGATAATTAAACATGGAGATGGTGCAATATTTATATAGGGTTGTATGACTTCCCATGGCATAGAATACATATGCAAGATAGAAGAGAAGATGAAACAAGATTTTTATTTTAGCATTCTTCAAAATGAACTTGTAAAGACTATTAAAGAATATTATTTCAATCCTTTTCGTGTCATATTTTAGCATGATAATGATCCTAAATATACTCAAAAATCAATCAAGCAATAATTATAAATACAAAATTTTGATGTACTTACTTGGTTTCCTCAACCACTTGACCTAAATCCAATTGAGCATGTGAGGGCACTTGCAAAGTTCAAATTTAATGAGTACCTAGTACCAACCAAAAAAATGTTCCAATTGTAGAAGTCTGTGCAAGCTTCTTGCAATTCTATTACTCTTGAGCAATGTCAAAAGTTCTTTTGAAGCATGTCCAACTATATCCAAGTTTTATTAGCTTCTAAAGGAAGGAAAAAAAAAAAAAAAAAAAACCATTGATCAACAAGTATAAGTAGGTTACAAAACTGAGTCAATAGACTTAAGTTTATTCAAAATGCATTTTTTTTTTCTTTGTTATATTTCTCAAGCTAAGATTTTAAAAGATGATGGTTGACTTGGTTGCACATCTCACATAATTTGTGGTTTGGCAAAAAAATCAATAATCTTCTAAATATGGCTTCTCAAAATTTGTTGTTTTCTTAGTTAATTCAATTTTAAAAGTCATTGTATATTTATGTATATACAAAATTATAGATTTCATCAATATTAAATTTTAGCATTAACATGGCATATATATGTTTTAAAAGTTGTAATTTTTGAAAAAACAAATGTTTTATGTATAAAAGATATTAATTCTGTGGTTTTTTTGCAATAGATTTGATGGTTTTTGTAGAAGCAATTGATTATGTTATGTGTTTTAAATAACAAGACATTAAGTTGAATATAAAAACTGTTTCAAATCACAACTTACATAAACAAATAGCAAAAAATGACGTAAATTTCAAGAAAACTTGTTTGCACTAGTACGTTAAAACAAGCGACATGAGAAGAGAGTAAAGAATATTTTCAGACTCGCAAAATATGAAATAAAAAAAATCTTAATTCTTATGTATACAGAAGCTCCAAGTACTTGAATAAACTATTTTAAATTCACTTGGAGGAGTCAAAATGAGCTACATCTACCTCGTGAAGAAAGGTGCCTTCAACAAGAACTTCACCCTACGTACATCTGGGCTTCAAACATAAACATCGTTGGTCACAGTTTCTAAGGATTCACCCAATTAAGACATGATATTAGCTTAGTGTGCGCTGAAACATCATGCAAGGGAAGTCCGACACCTCGGTTTCCACTTAAGGCTTTTTCTTGACGTAAGACAAGTAGGGGTCTTGAGCTGCAGTTAACACATCTGGCCTGTTCGCTTGGTCGTAGGTAAGACATCGTCGCATGAATTCCTGGGCAATAAATAAGGATTAGTTTCACAATTAAAGGATTCCATCTGTGATAAAGGAGCTACCCTACAATTGCCACACGGATCTCGAAGACTATCAGACAACAGTTTTCATGACATGATGTAAACAGAAACCAATCATCACTAATTGTGCAAGATAAACAACATAGAGGTAGGTAACAAAGAGGGGTCGTTGAGTGGTTCGAAAAACAGCTATATGCCATCTGACTGATCAATTATATGCTTGGAAATGCTGAGATGAAAGTAACAGTTTTACTTGGGCATCATGAAAGGAATTTAAAGCACATGTGTATGGGTGGGTATATGTGTATGTCTGCAGAAGCTACCTTCGCCTCTAAGGATACAGAGGGTCGCGCTGGAAACTCCACTTTGCGGGCATTTACTATGGTGTCTTCACGCACTAATTGCTCCTGACATTGGTTGTGGCCAAACGGACGTTTTCCAAAGAGCATCTGGTAGTATATAACACCGACTGACCATACATCAACCTGGAAAACAAAGTAACGAAGTTACTACACTTTCCCTTTCAAGTCCTACTCATGGCTGCAAAAATATAAATCAAAGCATCAATTGCGATATTACCGAAGAGTACCTTTGAAGATATCAACGGTGTTTTGTTCAAGTCAAAACATTCAGGTGGTAAGTACCTACAAACCATCATTATGATAGCATACAATTAGTGATCAGAGTATTTTGTTTAGCACTTCGAGAAATTTTCTAAGAGAATGGAACAAAAAATTACATCGACAAACTACTGCTAAGTTTCCGCACGTCACTGATCACTAATCGGTCTAAAAATACAATATTTGTCATATAGGAAGGGTTAAAAATGACTTGGTAAAAGTTTGGCACAAATTACCAGTAGGTTCCTGCGCCTTGAGATGTTAGTTCCATCCCTTGAGATCCAGATTCTTCTTCTACGATTTTGCTGAGACCAAAATCGGTTATCTTGGCCACCCCAACCGAGTTGAAGAGGATATTTGCAGGCTTCAAATCGTAATGTATGATCCGCTGGGATTGCGTATTCAACTTTACTAGTCCAGAGAATATCTGCACCAGAATGCTTCTTGCTTCTCTTTCTGGTAAAACCGGGGTCTCTTTCAAAATAACATCGAGGTCTTTGCCTAAACCAAAGCCACAAATTATAATGAGCATTAATCCATTACATTTTAATGAAACCACACATTTATTGCCTTACGGCTCTAACTTTGAAGATTTCCTTAACATGCCAAGCTCTATGCATAAAAAATATAGCAAAGCTAGAAATTGGGACTTACGAAACACAACGACAAAGAGATAAAGACTTATTTGACAGAAAACATCAACGTGCCTCCTCAACATGCAAAAACATCCCCAAGATCTAACACAGTCTGAAACTCCACAGTATGTTGCGTAGTTTATAGAATTTGTGACACGAGAACCCATACCACTGCAGTATTCGAGAACCGTGCAAAACGTATTATGATCAATCTCGAAAATATCCCACAAGCGCACAATATGTCTATGGACCAGACTCTTGTGGATGTTGTACTCCCGAATGGCATGCCGAACATACGTCTGTTTCTTCTCCTCACTCCACTGCTCATTCAGCCTATGCATCTTGCAAGCAACATACTTGTAGTCCACCAGATCGTAAGCCTGCCCCATCCTTACCCCTTCATCCTCTCAATCCTCCGATCTCCGAGCATCAGATCAATAATGAAATTCTGCTTACAAATTGAGGTGGCCACATGCACTGAAACAAAGGCACTTCTGAGATTAAGGCCTCCAAAATGGCTATCAACGTAATGCTTCTGCAAAGCACACAGCTGATCATTAATGAGTCAGAGAAGACATACCTTGTAAACTTCACTAAAACCACCTTTGCCGAGAAGATTCAGGAGCGCATATCTCTTGTTCATTATTGGGAAATGGTTAAAGGGAGATGCATCTTCATCTCGACAGCGCTTCAACTCCCGTATTAAACATTTCTTCTCTTGCTCCAGCCTATCTCGGTCCTTCAACACAGCTTCCTCCTCCTGGTAAACAACATAACAAGGATAACATTTAATTAGAACTCCTTATGTTTCAATCACAGTTCTAAACAATCACCTCTGCCTCTATTTCTAAATTGAGAGGCAGCGGAGTTTGCGCAAACATTCATAATAATGCACCAGATGGATTCAAACATGCGACCTTCGTAAGGTGGTACGTGAGTTTCACGCGCCGGATTAAAATGATGCGTAAAAATTGAAACTAGATAAGCTATAATCCCTACTTCATGCTGTGAAAATGGCTGCTTCTCACCCGCTTTACACCTAGCAAACGAAATCGATATACCTCCTCCATCGCCAACACATCTTCCTCTGACATTGCAGGCTCCCCACTGCTACCATCTGTCAACATAAATCAAGTATTTCATTGCATACTGAAATCATTGGCAGCGTATGAAGTCAGTTGAAACAAAGTTTAATCTCACAATGATTATGCAGAAAAATCTTTTACGTGCAGTGAATATGATGGTAATGATAATTTACCAGATGGTTGCTTCTTGAGTTCCTTTCGGCGTTTCTCGAGAGAAGTCTTTAGCTCCATCAAAGATCTCTGCACACATATTCCACACGAACCAACCTCAGAAAAGAACTCACAATTTTACCCGTGCAATAAGGAGATAAAATTATTACGAGCCAAATACCTAGGGATATTTCCTTGTGCAATCATGTTCTGACAATTACAGGAAGTATCAGACAAAGAAAAAAAAAACAAACTAGAACATTGAACGATTCTGAAGCTATCACTTCCGCCAATTTATACTAAAAACAGAACCACCTCCAGCACCAACATAACTAGAGAATAAATTACTGTACCAGTCTTGATTGGACATCTTTGAAGGCTTGACCATCTTCCCACACTTCTGACAACACTGTCCTTGCCCTGGTCAAGTTAAAGAGATCAAATTTCAGAATATTCCAGAGCAAACCCGTGGAATTCACTGCACAGACAAAGATGGTAGAACAGAAACTTCGTTCAACCCTTTCCCTCTTGACGTGAACGACTAAATAGAGTAGAGCACATGATCACAGATCGAACACATTATGAGCACTAGCCGATATATAAATGTACTATTAGAGTGTGTTTCTAGCAAATATTAGATATGAATATTAATTACCAATGACCCAAATATTATCCACGAATGTTTACGAGGCAATTCGATCCGCGGACGTTTGGCAACAAGAGTCTCAATCAATTCCTTGAGGTAGAATATCAGCGAATAAGATAAAATTAACAGTTGAGGCATCAGTTCCAAAGTGAGTATCTAATTATTCAGATCTTCAAATGTGGAAATTCGCACCTCATTACGCCGACATTGCCGAGCCTGTTGCATTCCTGTTGAAGTCTAGAACGGGCCTCTTGCCTTTCAACCGTGGCCAATTGAACAAGCAGGTCTGAAACCACCTTAATCCTCTGATGACACAAGAAACTGTTCAGTGTCAGAAAGATACGAGGATTGGATTTTGGAGAAGGTTCTACTCGTTTGAACTTAGTGAAAGGAATTACAAGCTCTTCAAAAGATAATTTGATCCGTATAAGTAGTAATGGGACGGTTCTCCTGAGAATGTCATTCAAACAAGCAGGGTCTACCTTTTGGTCTCGATGTTGCTCCTTGTCTGTCCTTTCCTTCAGATCCTGCGAGGGAGTAGGGAAGACAGTCAGTAGTCCGAATTGCAACTCACAAGCATTCACGTAGAACAGCATTTTACAAATAACATCTAGTTCTTGATTGTGATGAGCTGCTGAAAGGACAAGCGAAGGTTACCTTCTCAAATCGTTTGATAGAGTTGTGGGCATTGGCAAGTTCTTTTCGAAGTCTACCCATTTCCTCTTCCAGAGAGGAGTTTTTCGTTTGCAGACTAGTAATCTCCTCCTGCTTCCAAATTCCAACGTTACAAAATAATGATAAGCCAACTACATGAATGTGACTGTAATGCAACTTATTCAAGACAAAACCAGATTTCAAAGAGCACATTCTGTCAATTTACGCTTTCAGTTTAGCAATGCCCAGTTTCACTGGTATCATTTTATGTTGTGCAAAAGTGCAAAATGTATAACATAATATTATGACAACCCTTACTTCAAGTTGAGATATCTCCTGCATCTCCTCTTGCCAAGCAATTCGAGCAGCTGCAACTTCCTGCCAACCAACGCGCAACTTCAGTGTGAATTGATCCTTAACATTGATATACGAGGAACATGAATTTCGAAAGCATTAGTCCAGAAAGTAGGATCTGATAGATATGAATTTGGGGAATGTCTATACTAAAGCTTCATTACGTATGACAACTTCGCCAAGTTAAGTTGAAGAACTATCATCATGAGATATTCCAACGGCATTTACTTTCTTACTGCCGATTATTACATCTACTATACTATGTGCATATTCCTTGCAACGCGAAAAAGAGTAACCGACCTTAACTTGACGGGAGCGCTTAGTGTTCGCCTCTGGCACCCGTTCCCTTTTTCTGCCATGGAGATTGTCTTGGCTATTGCTTCTGGTCAGCCTTGGATTGGGTTGTATCACAAATTCTCCCGCATCCTTCATATTTCATAAGCAAAGTGAGTGAGACACAGACTCTGACAACAGCAATAACATGAAGCCAGCCATTTAATAACTCAGTTTCTACATTTTGACAAACTTGACAGTGCACTTGAATTGAGGATCAGATTAAAATAGGGCTGAGAATCAGAATTTATCACTCATTACTTCAAATTTCCCTTCAAACACTGAATCATCGCTGTTTGTGATTTTGGTCCCATAAATCTCTAAAAAGGGCGGAAAGCGTAAACAACTGACCATGATGGAGGCGACAAGATCACCAACATTCTAATCAATACTGGTACACCAATGTGATGAAGAGAATTTCTCAAATAAAAATGGGTGGTATTTACTGTACATCGGAATCGGAGTCTCCTGAAGACGAGATTGTCGTCACGCCATTACTCTTGGTACTCATTAACTCACTATGAGCAGATAGCCATGGCGTTTGAGGGGACATTGGTGCTGCCTTCCCTGCCATCCTGGCCTCTAATTTGGCCATTTTCTGCGACATGCTAGGGTTGGAATTGGAATTCGACAGCTGCAGTAGCACATCATCACTCATATTGCAATGTGTTATATAGTGGAACAGATTTTGAGACAAAAAGTGAAACGGCTGCGAGTCGAGAAGCGCAGGATTTTGAATCGTAACATGCCACTGATACTACAGGAGGACTTCATCATTCATCCTGCCCTGGTCGTCTGATATTCGCGGCGATCTTCCTCCTCGTATCTGAAGCCCGCTTACAATAGACATGAACACCCGCTTACTGTACACGTCCCTTTCTAATGATCGTATTCATTGGATTCGAACAGCAAAACCTGCCTCGCATATGCAGATGCCTTCACCTGAGCCATTATTTGCCATGTATCAGCAAGTAATCGTAACACTCAAAAATACTGAAACTCACAAGCATTCTTAACCCGGCGTCGTCGCCGCTAAATATAAACATCAGCACATATCACAGTCCAACAGCATCCGTGATAACAAATTGTATGATCCTCTGCACAAGAGCGAATACAGGGTCCAAACATTGCCAAGAGACACTCCCAGTCTGCTAAGGAACAAAGCTATTAAACTGAGAATTCACTACCAACCTAGAAGATGCAAATTCAGCTAATGCTCCACTAATGACGCGTCAAGCGGAGAAAATATCTTCAAAAACCTCGCAGCATGCTCACAACAATAACAAATTAAGTCTCTCGAAGATCGGCAACATGAGAAAGAAAGCAAAACACGGCATCTACCCTGTTGCTTCGTACCGACACCATTCAAACCCCCTACAGGAAGAACAGCTAGATCGCAACTCTTCACACAATGCTCAAAATTCGCCATTCTCTTCACAGGTACATACCGCAAAGGAAGCATTGACGCCCTTAAAAGCTGACTTTGGTTCCTCACGCACTCCGTAACGAAATGAATGCTGAGATCGCCCGCTGCGACGTAATAATCTCACGCTTACCCCGAAGCAAATCTATCTGTCTTGCTCCAGTGCGCTTGGTCTTCAAGCGTCAATGCACCCAACGGATCACCCATTCTCTGAATCCCCAGTGGAAGACGATTTGGGGTAATCTTCCGTGAATTTTTCTTTAATGATTCAGAATCTACACTCTGTTCAGATATGAGGCACCGAAGGTGATGCAAGTTCCCGCCAAAAGTCAGGCGGGGTTGGCTTAGACATAGCTCCGGTGGCCGATATCATCCGAACTAGTACATTTAAGACTGAGACCCGGGACGGGTAACGATGACATACCCTGGATCCTATAAGGGTATATGGGCGGTCACTAATCTCATTCAGCTTGAAGGGTATACGCTTTGGTCGTCGCGCAGTGTTCGAAGGAAGTGCTCTACAAATCATGGCAATTGCAATCCTCACGTCAGAATTGCTCAGATTGTTGTTGTGTTTGTTTGCTGGGACTTAGTGCAACTACACCACTTCTGTCACTTTTCTGGTCCCACACTTTCGTCATGTGCTGGTGAAGAAGCCTTGTTTTTTCTACATTGTGTGACTCAATTTTTCTTTTCTTTTCTTTCTGCAGTGTTGCTGTGAGTTGTTGATTAGAGAGATGTCGGACAAGGTGGCGATGAGCTCTTATATGCCAGCATCGACTTGCTTCGCAGCAAAGAATACTACTTAGCACATCAAGAAATATTGAAAGAATTGTCTAGGAAATTAGAAGTGTGGGGGTTTGGTTAATAACGGCGTAGACTACAACCTGTGATGATAGACACCACTACAGTTCTTAGAACTTATATCTTAGACGGTGGTGATGTTGAAGAACTTAAAATTACTCGGAAACGCATCCAAAAGCCAAAAACGTCGTTAGGTTAGAGACACTCTGTTCGACTCGATGCTACTCAGCTGAAGAAATTCAAGTCAGTGAACAAACCAAGGAAAGTTGACTTTGAGAAAAGAACAATAATAATTAATTGCTTATTCTATTCCATTTAAAAAAATAAAATTAGTAAAAATGAAGTCAAATGTTAATTAATTATATACCTTTTTACTTGTAGGTAATTTCAAACGAGCTCTGAATAGTGTTTAGTGTTTTTTTCTTTTTGGCCTAATCTCTCTTTTTTTAGTTTACTATTATAGCCATATTTGTGGTTATATGAAAATCTTCTAATTCTTCTAGTTGATCTAAGTATCTGTTTCAAAAAATAAAGTAGCATTGACACCACTGTATCTTGAATTTTAATTGTTAGGATGGCCACTTTCAGCGTTAAGTATAATCGTGTATACATCATTTGTCAACTAAAATCATGGTTTGTGGGAATGGCACAGTTAGGTAGCTATGGATCTGCATTCTTGCTGCATCGGTTCGTCAATAATGTGAGCTCTCTTTGTGATTTCTACGGCTTGTCACAGCTCGTATGGGCCTCCTTCACATTCCATATGTCTACTTCAATGAATCTTTTTCCGCTGTGAGAAGCGTCTACTCTTCTCACCACCTTCAGTTCCTCCACTGGACGTGTAGCTTTGGCAACGCGGAGGCGTAGTCATCATTCCATAGAACAATGCGTGTCTGAGCTTCGAAGATGAAGACCACACCACTACCGTATACTCGTCTTAGGAAATCAAACAACACCGACAACAGGTCCGAGAGAGCTTTGGTAACCTTGTGTGGCTTTTATGAATCCATGCAACAAAGAATTACCCCCAGTTCATGCTTGTTATCCACTGAACAACGTGCGTTTTGAATCTGGTGGACGGAGTCAGTCACATGGACTCCGATTTTCCACTGGCATTGCTATATTGTCGGCTGCAACTTTCTCCGGGTCAGCGACTAGCATGATTTTGCCAAAGTAGGCCTGGGAATCCACGAGGCGGTGCGCCCACACTGCCTTTTCCATAATGAACACATTCTGTGGCTCGATAATGGGCATCATCCTCTTCTCCTCTACCAAAGGCCAAATATTCTCCTGAACGAGTCTCATGACTTCAGCTCTCTCTTCGGTGCTTTGGCGCCACAATGAGGCAGCTGCACACAAATGCTCACGTTCATGGCACCCATCTACAATAGTTAGTGATCTTCCAGAGTTTAAACAAGGACGTAATCAAGCTTAATTCTTTTTCTTCGTTTCTTTTACTTCATCTTCATTCTCCATGTAATCTAGTCGTACAGCTAAAAAATATGGCGGAGCGGAAAATGCAGAAAGTGGCTCACGTTGAATGGAGCATTGTTTTGTGCACACAGGACCGAGGACAATGTCGGAGTATTTCCCTTTTCTCATACCGATCATGAATATCCGACCCTCTCTCTTCAGTATTCTCAGATTCTCGCTCGTCCACGACGCTCCCACAACGTCGAGGACCATATCTACTCCTGTTAGATTCACAAATTGCATCGATGCATTAGTAGCTCTCCAAAAGAAATCTCTCAGGGAAGCCCATGTGTCACTCACAGCTCTCTGAAATACCTCACTCGCGATGCACAAGTGGTCTTTTAGTACAAAACAAAATGAGGTGACAAAGGTGGGGATTTCGTTGTCTGTTTATTTATTTACTCATTCATTAATTTTTGCACCTGGTTCTTTCATGTGTTGGGTGTCCTTCCAGATCCTCTCCACAAAGTCTTCCTCGTTGCAGTTGATTGCGAGGTGCGCACCAAGTTGCTCACATTTCACGGTTTTCTCCAATGTGGCTGTCCGATGGAGGAGTCAACCTTGAATAAATAAAAAGCAATAAAGTCCTATTCTACTTTGTATACTGATTCAGTAATTGTGATGACAACAATAAAATGGGATAAGTAAACTAATTGTGGTTTGCATTGAGGTTGTCATTGAAAATGGCAACAGAAAGTTGAGGAGTCGAAAGGTTCCAGTTATGAGGTGAAAATAAAGTGAGTAGAAATAGAACATAAGTTTGTTAAAGTTGAGATATTGTAAGTATATATATATAGATATACACTTGTGTTTTAGGTTTCAAAAAATTTCAATGTTGTTCTTAACGATTATCAGTGTAGATTTGAACAATGATGTATACATGTGGTACAATATACTTTACATCCTTGAGCTTTGCAATATTGAATGGCCAAGGTTCCACCACCACTTCCACCACCTGTTATCTATACAATAAACTTTGATTTACAATGAAGTTTTTCCTACTATAAAATTCAGTATTATTCAGATATTAAAATTCAGATATTTTAATGTTTGATAAAAATTAAGAATGACACACTTAGAAGAAAGACTGTACCTACATTTGAGCCCTTTTGGATGCAATTTTTTATATCAAATTTATTATTTTAGAAATGAAGATTTACAATTCACAATTCAGGTCACTTGAAGTAGAGTTATTCAAAATTTTGAATTTACATCATGGCACTGAGAAACTCAACACACAGAGATAGATAGATACATACATTGTAAAAATAGTATTATGTTAATTTTAAGAAATAAAAGTTTACCAACACATGAAGAGGTTCTACTGAAGGAGGAGCATTGTTGGCAATGCTTAGAAATGTAAAGATGCTTAGGATGATGGTGCTTGAAACCTCAGGAAGAGCTGCAGCCTCCAAGCATGTGAGACCTTTGGGTATTGGCAAACACAAATCTTCATGTGTTACAACATGCATTGCATGGGCCCCACCACTACACCAAGCACAAACCTAAAAAGTTGCACCCTGAGTGATTTAATATTTATTGAATTGGATTTATTTTATTTTCCTTGATAAAAACGATATTTTAACAGCACCTTAAAAGAAATTCAAGAAAGTATATTAAAAGTAAATGAGCAAAGGATCATAAAAAAATATGGTAACTAATTACATGATGAAAGGGAACTGTGTAAGATAGTGATATGAAAATGAGAAATTTCGTTTTGTGTAATCAATATTGAGGCAAACTTAGGGCTTCACATCCAATCAAAATTTCATTCCAAATGTGAAAATGAGGAATATATTTAATTCTGTACATGTAGCATAATTCTATCAATTTTTGAAAAACATTTCACAAAAATTACAGAACTGAATCTTGAATTGCATCTTAATCTGTTCAATCCTCCTCAAATCAAATAACCCAGGTTTTTGCTTAAGGCGTGTTGACTTGAAAAATGGGTATATATATTCACAATTTTATCTTCTCAAATCTCAGCATTTCAAAACACGGCTGAACGAGGTTACCAGTTACAAAAAAGAAAAAAATCAATCTATCGACGATCAATCAATCACCATGCATCACAACTCCAAAAGGTCTCATATCACAAAGATTAGAAAACTAAAATAATAATAGGAATAATACAACTACTAATAATAAATTGATAAGCACAACACAGTATCAACTCTTTAGAAGCATGATCCCATTGAAATTCACTGCGAAAGCTTTTACTGGAGCAATGAATAATAGCATACTTCATCGCCGAGTTGCCACCTGGTGGCGCCGGGACCGACAGCGGCCACCACACCAGAGCAATCGACGCCAGGATACACGATCTCGCCCGGAGGAATGCTCATCACGCCCTTGCGCATCAAGCTATCAAACTCATTCATCGACGCCGCTACCACGCGGATCAGCACCTCATGAGGTCCAGGCTTCGGCGCGGCCACCAGTCGGTATTCGATCACCTCCGGACCTCCAGGGGTCCGAATCCTGATCGCGCCCATTAGCGGTGTCGGTACTGGTGGGATCTCTCCGATCATGATCGGTATGTTTGTGCGATCGGTTGGGTATCGATCAGTCGCATGTGTCGATGGACCCGGCTGCTCTGGCTTGTCGAGGTTTAAAATCGGGTCCATGATGGCGCCTAGCCCTGGATGCAATATCTCTGCAAGTTCCATGCTTGTGAAATTCTGACCCTTCGACTCACAGATGCTAGATCGAAATAAACGTCTTTTCTGTGAAATAGTAAATTGCAGACGCCAACGAGTTCGAAAATATTTGTGAGCTTGTCGTCTCACTCAGGGTGATCCTCCCAAAACAGGTCGTGAATATCTCCACATCTAAAATTTCGTCATTGACATGTTGCTAAATAGAGGGAGAATGATAGCAATTTGTGTGTTGTCACAGGTCTCATCTCTTTCCCCTTGGTCATGATTGTCTGCAACAGGGGGACAATATTCTCATTTTCAGAGGGTTATAATTCTCTATGGGAATCATTCCAGGTGACTTTTCCTAATCTAACTACCCACTTCACACATGGTGAAACGTTTCTCAACCGTCAAATATACGCACTAAAAAAATCCTCCACTGCCTATAAGAAACAAAGATTCAGCTGATATCACCGAAAAAATGTCACCAGAACCAACAGTCAAAGTCCATTTCATTGCGCTGACCCACATCAATACAAGCTATAAGTTACGTCCGTAACTATGACATGGATTAATCATCATCTGTTAAAGCAAGGGTCCCATCCATTAGATATCTTATCAATGTATTGTACCAACTCGAGATCACACATGCGGATCAAGGGGACAAAAAATCCAGTAAGATCCTCATTTTAAAAGGCGAAAATCTAACGTAAAAAAATTATCATTACCCCAAATTACACCGACACTACACACCACCGATGAAAATCCATCAAACTCAGCACAATAAAAAAAAAATCAGCTCAAACAACTTGCAAAAATAAAACAAGCCACAACAAATCCAAACCAACAATTCAAGCGGAACCCTTACGAATCCAGAAACTCCAAAGAACGTTGCAGGCGCCGTGGGTTGTGCAAGGGCAGAGTGCTCGGGCGCGGGGTGCGATCAGTGGAGGGGCGAGGGGATGCATGGGGCGATGTGGGTGGTAAGCGCCATACGGTTTGGGACGCGACGTGGTGCAGCGGATATGGAGATCGGGTGGGGCACGGTCGAGCGATTGGGCAATGTAGCAACGTCTGGAATCTGAGCCGAGGGAGAAGGGATGATACGTTGAGGGGCGCTAGACGATGAACCTACGGCACTTGTGGAGTGGGCGGGCTCATTCCAAGTGTAGATCTACCCGCTCAGGCTGTCCAGAACATGTGGTGTCTCGAGGGTCAATGAGGAGGGGGCAACTTCCAGTTGTTCTAGTTAGCGGTGGGACAGAGGGCTTGAATTATCTGCGCTGATCACCTTGCGCGGCACGCTTCCTCAGACCATCTCCTTCGTAGTTGTTTTTGTTGTGTCCCTTGGTTCCTTTTTGCTTTGTTGTGTTTTCCTTTGCTCTTCTCTTCTGTCCATTGTCATTCTATCTTCATCCGTCTATGGTCATTGAAACATTTTAAATCTCATTTCTATCCATTGAATCACTACACACTATTTTATTATTGGGTTGTGTGTTGGCTTCCTTCAATTCCGTGGTGTATTGTAAGGTTGTTTCTACTATTCTTTGGCTTGTTGTGATCAAGCACTTGGTCAAACTTTATTTTCTTTCTTCTTTCTTATTATCGTTTTGTTTTTTTTTTATCATGTTTTTTTAATAATTATGTTCCACAGATTGCATTTGGTTTCTATGTTGACAACAATCAACACACTTGTAAGAGAGATACTCAAGCCAAATGTTTGCATTTTAATTCTCTAATATGAATTGGAAATCTTATGTATGGTATGGTGCTCTTTTTCTCTTTCTTTTGCTTTTGAAAGCAAAATTTGTAAAAGCATAGGCTCATGGGTTAGTAGTGCATAAAGTATTGTTTATTTGTTTGTTAGTTTATTTTAATCTCTCATTGCTAATCTTTGTGTAACAATGTTAAAGGAGCCTATTTGAATAAACTAATATTGAAATAATTGGTGGTGTTTGGAATTCTTCCCTAGATTCTATAAAATAATATATTATAGTTTAAAAAAAAACAAAGAAAGATAAAAAAGAAACTAAACTTGACATTGTAAAACTTTTAATTGATTTATGTATTAAAACTCATGTCTCAAGATTTTAGGTGGCTCCAATTGGGAGATGACATCCAAAATATATTAATGTATTGTATTCTTAGTATTATTATTATTATTACTCAACAATTACTTGAAATCAAAAAAAATTTAAAATTTCATTCACAAACTATTGCAACTATCATTTCTTCCAAAAATAACTTTGTACTTTTGATTTCATTAGTCTTCATTACAAATCCTATATCATTACATGAATTTTAGTCTAAAATATAAGAAAAGAAATAACATCCATCCAACCATCTATCCATACATTCATTCATATATTCTTTCCTTCTTTCCATCTCTCTACCTAGCCACCCATCCATCCATCCATCCATCCATCCATTCATCCATCATTATTTATTTGTTTCTTTGAATTGTTGATTGATTTGTCTATTCAATATCCGAACTGGGTAGAATTTAGGAAACTAAACCTTTGGAATTCAAGACTAGTAAATAATATATTTATTCATCTTATCTTCTACTCAATTTAGCTCTTTACCAAACATTCCAAATTTTCTAAGCTAATGAAGAGAGTATGTAATGTGAGTTAAAAATAAATAAAATAAATAATAAAAATAATAATAATTAAAAAGTGGTGGTTACATCTTATTTAATCATCTAAAGATAATAGGATTGCCAATCAAGTGAGATTTTTTGAACAAAGTGTTCCGAATTTAAATTCGGTTAGAAAAAATAGGCTATCCTAATGAGTTAGTGTTAGTGCAAGAAAGACAAATAAAAAACATCCAAAGGATATTTAAGCCTTATAAATATTGATGTCATTCTCTTCTTAGGTTGGAAACGATTTTAAAATATTAATTTTTTAAAATTTTTAGTATTTTTTCTTCTTAAAATATTTTATCTAAAAGATAAATTTTAATTTTTTTTATCTACCTTGAGTAGTGTTTTAAAACAATCTAACTTAGTTGAAATATTAAGTAGCAATAGCTCACTTTTTCAAGTCATAAAAAATTAATAGCTCCTAAAGCCAATTGCTTCTCAAGTAATAGATTTTACATAGTCAATTCTAAGTTCTTCTCTTTTGCAAGTCATCCCAAATGGTTGATATGTGTGAGTTATTAAATCAACTCACTAATTATTTTAAAAAAAAAATATGTGTAAGCTACAATAAACCTCTACTAATTGGAATTTTATTTTAACTCATAATAAGTAAATTAACTATGTGAATTTAAAAATAAAGCTATTATTTAAATTCTAATCTACTTAATACTTGTTCTTCTTAAAACACCAATTTATTAATCAAATCCTCTAACATTACTCACATTCACAATGATAATTCATTCCTAAACTTCATGAAAAACAATTCTTTCTTCTACTTCTAATTAGATAATTTTGTTTAATTTTTTAATTTAATTTAATTTAGTTTTTTATTATTATTAATATTATTATTTTTATTAGGTTTTTTATTAATTTTTATTAATTTATTATTTTATCATTTTTTTAAATATATAAATTTTTACTTCTTAAATAACTAATGATAAAAGTAATTAATTAAGTTATTATCCTTAACCCATAGTAACTATAATTTTTTTAAAGGTTGGATTAAAAATTAGAAGTTTATAGTTAAAAGTAAAGTTTAAAAAGTAAAAATAAATTAAAAAGTAAAAAAGATAAAGGTTAAAAAATAATAAAATAAATGTAAAAGGGAGAAGATTAAAAGTTAAAAATTAAAGCCAAAAGTGAAATGTAGAAGTTACAAGTTATTGTAAATGAAATAAAAATAAAATAAAAGAAAAAAATAAATAAAAAGAGGTACAAGCAGAAGTACCTTGACAATGCCTAAGGATTGAGGGAAGTACCGCCTTTTTACTCCAAAATTTGCCAAAAATCCAAATTAGCTACAAATCTAATTTTTGTGTTGGAAATTCAATTTCAAGACGCTCCTGCTCTGCTATTTCCATGGCAATCTAATACCTCAGCTGCAAGCAATGCTTCTTCAAAGTTGGATCATCAGGCCTACTACTACAGCCGACCCTCCTTCACTCAAAATTTTTTTAGAAATTCAAAATTACTTCAATTTTAATGCAATCTATGCCAATGAAAGCTTAAATTGAATTTTCTTGTAATCCCAAAATTTCAAAATGATTCCATTAAGGAGCACTGAAAAATACCTTTTCAAAGTTGGATTATTGAAATTGCAAAGATAGCTGCCCCTTTTGCACTCAAAAATTCACCAAAAATTCGGTTCAAATCAAAATTGAGCAGGCCTTAGTTCATTAGAAAGCTAATAACAAGGACTATGTGATAAAAAATCTTCACTTAAAAATCACAAAAAACCACGGACTAATTGAGAAAAATCAGAGGCCCCTCAAACCCTTTTGACTATGGAAATAGTTGGTGACCACTAATTGCAAATGAGCACCTATTAAACCACAACAAGCACCATCCGTGACACAAAACCAATGCTTATATATTCCTAAATTTCACAATGAGATCTAAGATCAAGAAAGAAGCAAAAAAATAAGATTAGGATTAGGGTTGAGACCACACTTTGGTATGGCTTTGCACTCATCAAAAGAAAGAGAGAGAGAGAGGCTTGGGAAACCAAACCTCTCTTATACAATTGAGTGGTGGCTTGTGGAAGGGCGGCTACATCTCCACCCTTGATCTCTAAGATCTCTAATATAGATCTATGGCCTTCCTTCATCTAAGAGCTAATTTCGTGATCAAGGTTGATGGCTCTTGTAAGTGGGAAAAAAAATACTTTTTGATAAATAAAACTTAACCATTGTATTCAAAGCACCTTTTTATGCTAAGATTGACTACTCACATGCATCAATCTATGCTCTTTTGCAACTTTTATGAAGGTTTTTTACTTACAAGGATTTAGGCAATATTTGTAAAATTCTTCAAAAAATGAGAATTTCATTTTTCTACTTGTACTTTAAAGGAAAGGGTGCTGATCTTATTTTCTTCACTCCACATGGTACATTTGATGCCTTCATTGTATTTGAAAGGCTTCTATGAATTAAAAGCATGACTTTGCTGCTTGAATTTGTTGAATTTGGAAAAAAAATCTTCGAATCCATTATAATTAAATCTCACTAGATTTTTTGTTTTTTTTTTTGTTTTTTTTTTTTTCGATACCAAGATTACTTCCTTTGTAATTCTTCTACTACTAGCTAACTAGTAAAATATAGTCTTTATAGTTTTTTCTTACTAAACTCTATCCTAGATTGCATGTCCACTACTAGCAATCTATTTTCTATTTTTTCCTAAAATTCTAATATTAATTCATAAAATTTGTGTTTTAAGCACAATAAGTATATTTTTTATACTAAATATCAAAAAGAGTCAATTCAATGGCTCATAAGATGTATTTAGAAAGCTTAAAATCATGATATATAGTGAGTAGTGTAGAAATCCTTATACAAATAAAAAATTAAAATGTTAGTTGTAGAAATGGAATCTTAGTAAGTCTTAGAAGCAATCATCTTAGTTGATTCAATATTTTTATTTATTATTAAGTATTAAAAAATAGTTATTAAGATCAATATCTACATTGATTTTTTTATCTATATATATTACTTATAAAAAATTATAAATGTTAGTTAGTAGTTAGAAGAAGTAAGAGAAAGAAAATCATATCATTTTAATTATTGATTTAAGAAATAAGATTTATAATTGATTTAAATTATTTTTATTACTATAATAAATCACTAAGATAAAAAAATATAGATTTAAATTGATAATATTATTATAAAATATTTAAGAAATTTTTAATTTTTATTTAGAATTTATTTAGAATTTATTTTGAATATTTTAGAAATTATTAGAATAATTTTTAAGACTTTGGTATAAATGAGATTTATCACTTTGAAAGCCATTATGAAGAAATGGAACAAGATTCAAGGTTCTTAGGCTATTTGGATACTCTTAAATACTATAGTGAAGTAAAAATTATAAAAATATTGGTTTTACTAGTAGAAATGT